ACTAAGACTGAAGTGATAAAAGCCATCATGAACTTCACACAGCCATTACCCAGCCCCAGCACCCATCAGTCCAACGCCATTCCTGTCTCACCCACACCCCTCCACTCCACTCCTTTTGCAAAATGGAAAGCACAACCAGACCCCATATTATTTCATCCACAACTTGTTTGGTAGGTAGTTCAAACGAGAATGGGATTTTTGAAGACATAATTACTAAACCACGATTGCACCTAATTAAAAAAGATTTTATAATGCCATCACATTTTCCTTGTTCAGATTTCTTGTTTCATATCTTTTTTTTTTTAACATTTTATTAGGGGTTTATCTATCTTAAATGTTACTTGATTTTTTGACTATGGCACACAACAGAACATGGGCCACCTACATTGTGATTGGTTGCTATGTCCTTTGAAGCTTCTTTAACTCTCTGGGTGTCTTCTCTCTAGCTCCCTCCAACCCAAAGAATTCAAGTTGTCTGACCTGCAGAGTTTTCTGTTTGAATGTTGTCAATCGAATGCTTTGGGAATCATTTCATGTGTCTCTCTGGTCCCCTGTGTTTCCTACAAACTGGTAGTTGAATCAACCTGCATGATCATATTCAGGGCACCTGGCCCATGGCGGCACAAGAGTTAAATGATCAGCTGCTGATGGAATGAGTGATGGGTAGTTCCAATCCGCCAGCTGTGAGGCCCAAGAAAGGCCTGGAGGTCTCCTTTTGCAAAGATTACGGCTAAGAAAATCTTACGGAGGCAGTTCTGCTTGGTAACACACGGGCTCACGAGGCGTCGAAGTCTACTCGAGGAGACCCTAAAACAACACACTTTTATTATTATTTTTGGCAAGACTGCTTTATAGAAGGTACTCTACTTCTCCGTCAAAAAAACCACTGCTGTTGAGTCCATTCCAACTCAGCCACCCTATAGGACAGAGTAGAAATCCCCTATAGGGTTTCCGAGGCTGCAGATCTTGGTCATATGCTAAGGTTGAAAAATGGTCCTCACTCAGCTCAGGTGGATGGCCCCCAGGGACCCTGGACAGAGTCCAAACCCAACACCACTGAGTCAGTTCAGATGCACAGCAACCCTCCGAGACAGGGCAGAATTGCTTCATCAAAATCTATGGGAGAAAACAGCCTCCTCTTTCTCCCAAGGAGCAGCTGTTGGGTTTGAAACGATGTCCTTGCTGTTAGCAGCTTAATGTCTAATCGTCTGCAACACCAGGGCCCCTGTTATCTCAGGAGGTATAGAACCTCAGGTCATATTGCTCTTGCCCTGGTCAGCACTGGTGCTGGGTACCTTGGTGCCTCAGTTCCTTTTTGTCAAATGCCGTTGGTCAGTTCTGACTTGGACAGAACTGAAAGTGGTTTGGTCCCTTGCCATTTTCCTGATCTTTGGTGAGTTGAAGTTCATTCATTGTGTCTATTGTGTCATTCCATTTCCCTCATGATTGGTCTGTCCCGATGAAATGTCCATGGTCAGCAACATGAGGTCTCACCACCCTTCCTTTTTTTTTAAAAAAATCATTTTATTAGGGGCTCATACAACTCTTATCACAATCCATACATACATCAATTGTGTAAAGCACATTTGTACATTAATTACCCTCATCATTCTCAAAACATTTGCTCTCCACCTAAGCCCCTGGCATTAGCTCCTCATTTTTCCCCTCCCTTCCTGCTCTCCCCTCCCTCATGAACCCTTGACACTTTATAAATTATTTTGTCATATCTTGCCCTGTCCAGTATCTCCCTTCACCCACTTTTCTGCTGTCTGTCCCCCAGGGACAATCCTTGTAATTGGTTCCCTCTTTCCAACCCACTCTCCCTCTACCCTCCCAGTATCGCCACTCACACCTTGGTCCTGAAGGAATCATCAGCCCTGGATTCCCTGCATTTCCAGTTCCTATCTGTACCAGTGTACATCCTCTGGTCTAGCCATATTTGTAAGGTAGAATTGGGACCATGATAGTGGGGGAGGAGGAAGCATTTAGGAACTAGAGGAAAGTTGTATGTTTCATCGTTGCTACATTGCACCCTGACTGGCTCGTCTCCTTCCCGAGACCCTTCTGTAAGGGGATCTCCAGTGGCCTACAAATGGGCTTTGGGTCTCCACTCTGCACTCCCTCCATCATTCACTATGATACGATTTTTTGTTCTGATGATGTCTGATACCTGATCCCTTCAACACCTTGTGATCGCACAGGCTACCACCCTTACTTTTAAGGAGCATTCTGGTTTTATTTTCCTCAGATTGATCCTTTCGTTCTTGTGAAAGCTCGTGGTATATTCAACGTACTTTACCAACTCAATTCAAACAATTCCACTTTTCTTCTGTCTCCGTAGTTCATTATCCATATGCATGTTTTTCTCCCCATATGCATGTTTTTCATGCATAGGAGAGGATGGAAAAGACCCTGGCTTATGTCAGATTCATCTTAGCAATAAAAGTGGAACCGTACCAGTGTTGGTTAGGCATTGGACTGCTAACTTGAAGGTCTGCAGTTCAAACCCACCAGCTGCTTTAAGGGAGCAAGATGAGGCGGTCTGGTCTCATAAAGATTTCCAGTCTCAAAAACCCTACATAGAGTTGCTAAGAATCAGAATCAATTCAATGACAGTGAGGCTGAGGGTTTGTTTTGTTTTATGTTAAGTCAGAATTGACTAAATGACTGCGGGTTTGGTTTTTGATATGGTGGTGGTGGGGAAGGGTTCCTGGTGACGCAGTGGATAAGCATTGGCTGGCAACCAAAAAGTCAGTGGTTTGAACCCACCCGCCACTCTGTGGCAGAAGTCTGTGACCGTCTCCATTTCCAGAAAGCCTCAGCAACCCCGTGGGGCAGTTGCCTGGCCCTAGACAGTCCCTGTGAATTGGGAGCAGAGGGTTTGTGGAGGCAAATTTTTTCTAGTAGCCTCTGAGCTGTCCCTCCCCAGATGACTGACTCCAAAGCCAAGGGCACTTCTACTACTTCAGCGGCTAATCTGCAGGAGAAAGATTTGACAGTCTGATCCCACAAAACTCATTGTTAGGTGCCCTAGGTCTGTTTTGACTTGCAGTAATGACATGCTGCCTGGTCACAACTCTCCTTATGTCTTGAGTCCATTGTTGTAGCCACTGTGACTGACACTCCATCTCCTTGAGGGTCTTCCCTTTTTTTGCTGACCCTCTGCGTAACCAAATTTCATGTCCTTCTCCGAGGACCGGCTCTTCCTGAGATCAAGTCCAAAGTACGTGAGAGATGTCATTCTCTCTTCTCAGGGGCATGCTGGTTGGACTTCCAAGAGATTTGCTCTGTCCAGGGCATAGTCAATAGTCTTCACCCAGAATGTTTCCCAGGTCACAGCCTGGGAAACCCTCCGGGACAGTTCTACTGTGGAACACAAGGGGTCGCTGTGAGTCGAGATTGACTTAGTGGCTGTGGGAAATCCTTCAGGTCCTAAACTAGGGCAGTCCGGGGGGTGTTGGGGTGGGGAGAATGCTGCCACCAGACCTTAAGCAGAGACTGGAGGGGCCGAGATTCAGAGGAGTGGGTTGGGACCCCCGTCTTCACACCTTCCCCTACTATCACCAGGCAGCATGTTATTGCCCAGGTGGACTGCTGGGGAAAAGCTTACTTGAGCCCACCTGTGACCTGAGCGCGGCTGCCAGCCCCTGCGAGCAGGGCCAGAATTTCTAGCAAAGTCAAGGACTGCCCCCTGGTGGATGCACACTGTTGATGGGACCACGTTGCTATTTTCTGCTGAGGAAGGCGTCCTGGGTTGGGGGCGGGGGTGTGGAGTAGGTCAGCTCTTCAAGCCCACTGGGTGCTCTTGGGGAGAAAGATGATGCTGTCTTCTCACGTAGAGATTGATGGAGATTCTCCAGTCTTATCGGGTTGCTGTGAGTTCAATTCAACTTGATGGCAGTGGGTTTGGACTCTGCCCAGAATCCCTGGGGCACAGGGCCACCAACCTGAGCTAGGGACCATTTTCTGACTTTAGCATGTGACCATCAGTGGTGCAGGATGAATGAGTAGCTGGGCTGTGGTCTAAGAGAAAATCCGATCCAACTTGTGGCACAGGAAACTGGGCATCTGGGGAGCTCCTAAGTTCTCTGAGTCTCGTCCATCCAGCGGGAATAATTGAGGGTCTGCCTCGGCAGAGATGAGATCATGAAAAGGAGACTGGCTGTCAGGTGCTCAGCCACCAAGAATGAATCATCATAGAGACCAGGTAACCTCCAGGAAGGGTTTCTGCTAAGCAGCTAACGAGTCACAGAGTGAAGAAGTGTTCTAGGCCTGTGAATAAACAGCAAAGCCTGGACTGCCGTGGTAAGGGCTTCTTCGGTAGGTAATGGGGAGCCATGGAAGGTCTTATACAGAGAGAAGAGTGTCCGTGTTTTAGACTACTCTGTGTGGAGGATGGACAGCGGGGCAGTCTGAAGACCCTTTGGGAAGCTCTTGAGAGACCCCTTTAATGGCCCCCTTGTGACAAAGAAGACCTACTCCATAGGGGTTGTTTTAGACTTTATGGCACGATGATTAAGGCAGTCAACTGTTAACCCAAGGTCATTGGCTCAAACCCGCTGGCCACTCTGCAGAAGAAAGATGAAGCTGTCTGCTCCCATAAAGGTTTATAGTTTTGAAAACCCTATGGGGGCAGTTCTACTGTCCTACAGGGTCGCCATGAGTCATGGTGGGCTCGAGGCCAGTGGGTTTGGATTTCCTTGAATCTTTATGGGAGCTGCTGAGCAGGTCGTCTCTCCCATGGAGTGCTAGTGGGTTCAAGCTGCTGAACTTGTAATTGGCAGCCAAGTGCTGAGCCACGGCACTGCCGGCATGGATGGTGGACTGGGCTTGATTGAGGAGTGGGGTGGGGCAAAGCAGGTTGTTGCACAAGCATGGAATGGGGTGAGGAATACGGGGGACCCCGGAGCAGGAAGGAGCAGGCTTGAGACGGGCTCCCCAGTAAGGTGAGGGGCTCTCTCAGAAGGCAGCTGCCTCCAGCAAGTGGGTTCTCCCCGCAGGGAGCCGGCGCCTGGTGGATGTGATGGATGTGAACACCCAGAAGGGCACAGAGATGAGCATGTCCCAGTTTGTGCGTTACTATGAGACGCCGGAGGAGCAGCGGGACAAGCTGTACAACGTCATCAGCCTGGAGTTCAGCCACACCAAGCTGGAGCACCTGGTCAAGCGGCCAACCGTGGTAGGCACTTGGTCACCCCAACCCCAGCTCCTGGCCCCCGGCTGGCCCTGGGAGGAGGGTACGGGGTTCTGGGGTCACTGCCCGCTGGAGGAAGGGGGGACCAGGAGGTGAAGGGCAGCTGGAGACTCCACAGGGCGAAAGCGGGTGTCTGTTTCTGGCCGGGGCTGCAGGAGGCAGAGAGTGCTGATGGTCGTGTGGCTTTCAGATTGACCTGGTGGACTGGGTGGACAACATGTGGCCCCAGCACTTGAAGGAGAAGCAGACGGAAGCCACCAATGCCATTGCTGAAATGAAGTACCCCAAAGTAAAGAAGTAAGACCTCATGGGAGTTCCAGGGG